CGATTCTTGGACCTTTTTCTGATATTTATTTTATATAACTCTTTTATTTTCTAGAAACTCCTTTTGTTTTTGTCTACATATTTTTTTGTGTTGATTAGATAAATATATGCACTGATTAATTTAACACTAATTGTTAAAATGTAATAAATCTAATTGATAAAATGTAATAAATTTAATAAAATGTAGTTAGAATTACTTTATTTGTAAAAAAAAATTAAAAATCAGAAAATATTAAAATATTAAAAAATAATAAAAATATTATAAAATAAGAAAATATTAAAATAATAAAATATTAAAAAATATTAAAATATTAAAATATTAAAATATTAAAATATTAAATTATTAAAATAATAATTTAAAAAGTAGAAGACGACTGGTGGCGGCGTCTCCTCCCGGTGCCGCCACCAGCGGTGGCGTCTCCGTCCGATGCCGCCGTTCCCGGTGGCGGCCAACACCAATTTAATTACTACTTCAAAAATAACCCCATTTTAAAAACTCCAAAACAAAACTACCCCAAAAAAAAAATTGCCCCACCCATATTTTACTCGCGACTTTCCAACTATTCCATGTGGTGTCCACGCGCTTATTCCCAAAAGGCAATCCTATCCGTCCACGTGTCTTCTCATCAAACGGTACTCCTCTCCCCTTCCGTTACTGTACAGATATGCATCCACAAATATGTATCACCATCTCCACAAGCACCCTCACTTTCTCACTTGCCCTGTATCTCTCAAAATTCCCCATACATCTCTCTCTCTCTCTCTCTCTCTCTCTCTCTCTCTCTCTCTCTCTATACACACACACACACAAAAATTCGAAAAAAATGCTTCTGAAAGCTGCCCCCGCTTTTGGCTTGTTCAATTCCAATGGGGAAAATCTGAGCGCTCTGTTTTCCTCCGCCTCTTCGTCTTCTTCGTTGGTGATGAAGGCCGCCGAGGGAAGAAATGTAAACGGATTCGTGACGTGTGCGGCGAAGCACACCAACAGCAAACCCTTGACCGGCGTCGTTTTCGAGCCGTTCGAAGAAGTGAAAAAGGAGCTCATGCTCGTGCCTAGTCTCCCTCAAGCTTCGCTCGCCCGCCATAAGTTCCCGGACGAGTGCGAGGCCGCTGTCAACGAGCAAATCAAGTAGGGTTTTCCTTCGATGTCAATGTTCAATCGCTTGAAATTTTGCTTTTAATTAAGAAAATCAGTTGTTTTCGTACATTTATCTCAGTCTGATTGTTTGTTATTTGGTTTTACAATTTGGTGATTACAGTGTGGAGTACAATGTATCGTACGTGTACCATGCCATGTTTGCCTACTTTGATAGAGACAACGTTGCTCTCAAGGGGCTTGCTAAGTAAATCACAGAACTACAACTCTTTTGGTGTTCGATCGGGAATTATGCGTTGATCTGGATTTTTATTTATGTTTTTGTTTTTGTTTTCCTGTAGTTTTTTCAAGGATTCGAGTGTGGAAGAAAGAGAGCATGCTGAAAAATTAATGGAGTACCAGGTGTTTGATAATTTTCCGCAATTTTTTATTTTCTTTGTTTTCCGATTATATTAGAATAAAATGTGATTTGTGTGTTATTTGTTTAACGAAATCCAGAACAAGCGAGGTGGGAAAGTACAGCTGAAGTCTATTTTGATGCCGCTTTCCGAGTTCGATCATGTTGAAAAGGGAGATGCATTATATGGTAAATGGTTCTTCGCTTAGCTTTGCTACCATGGTTAGAGTCAAACATGAATATATTAAGGTCATGTATATCCTATAATTGAGTGGTTGATATATGTGCATCTGTCGTAATTTATCGAATAATTTATTTGATGTCTATCCAATGTTGACATCAACATGGGGACCAAATTTTGTCATGGTCCCACATTTCTTTGTTGTGGGCATAAATTGGGAAATAGGACTAGATGGCAGTTTCTACATACATAGAGTTTTCCTTTTGGAGGTATTCACAATAATATATTTCTCAATTACATGATGTAAGGGGATCAGATCTCACATGCCTTACTACCATTGTTGTTTTCATGTGGGCAATATTGGGTCTTTATGTTTGTTTGTAATAATAACATGGGTTGTGCATAATAAGTTGTTGTCTTGAACATGATAAAAAAATCTTTTTGGACTCTTATTTTATTGAAATTGCTCCCGCAATTCATGCGTGAGATCCTTAGATCCTTGAGATTGAAGGAAGAAAAAATAGTCTTATAGACTTGGAGTTATTTGCTACATTTTTTTTCCGTTTTTCAACCCCTCAAATAGCGATGGTGGTGAATAGATTTTTACTGGACCGATGTGCTTCAAAAGTGATGTCACACTTGTTGACTATGGAATGGAGGTCTTTTGAGTATGTGAAATTAAGCCGTTGAAAGTTTATTGTAATTGTCCAACTCCAACAGTATATTGATAGGATATGTTTGGGAATGGTGGTGGAACTACTCTATGGCATTTCTTAGTTTAGGTTCCAGATATTGAATTTTTTTTTCTTTGCTGTAATTAAGATTTTTTGCTGGACATGGTTGTGTATGGTTGTTCTTTGGGAAATGACTAGTGGCGGGGCTCGAGTTTTGTAGACCGCATTTTTGTGGATACAACATGGAAAAAAACTTGTGATGTTAACTAGTGATTTTTTTCTCTATGATCACATATTCACACTATTAGAGGTGGTTTGCTCTGGATGGTGGTTGATGAGGTTCTGAAACAAAGATAGATACGACTGGGAAAAAAAATTCTATTTATTATTTGCTGTATTTTGTTTAATTTTCAGAACACTTTTCATGAAAAATGGCGAGATTGTTTGTTGCATGCATCAGTAGTTCAGTACACCATGTTTACTTTACGTGTCATTAGTTTAGCAAATAATGCATTCGTTAAAGTCGAAATTAGTTCATTATGTCCTTATGTAGTTTTCTGTGTATCACAGCTATGGAGTTGGCGTTGTCTTTAGAGAAGTTGACAAATGAGAAGCTTCTAAATCTGCATGCTGTAAGTGATAATTTTGGACCCTCTGTTCATTTGTCTGTGGTAAAGTCATAGTAGAAATGGATAGTATTGAATATTTATATTCACCTCTAGGGTTAATTTCATGCTAACATGCTTCATCATTCCAATAACAGGTAGCTTCTCGCAACAATGATGTGCAATTGGCCGACTTTGTTGAGAGCGAGTATTTGGGAGAGCAGGTTCTCTATCGATTTCCATCCACATCTTGTCTTGACTTTAAGCTTCTTTCGAATTCTACTATGTGTGTCGTACAAAACTAATCTTCAAATATTTGTTTCTTACTAAGGTGGAATCTATCAAGAAGATATCGGAATATGTTGCACAGTTGAGGAGAGTCGGTAAAGGCCATGGTATGTATATTAAAAAACAATCCTCCTTTTTTTTTTTCCCGATATTTATGCGAAGGTGTAGTTTTACAATTTGCAATGGATTCTTCTTTTGTCTAGTTCTCGTAACATTTTCTTTTCAATGTTTGGGTTATTAGGTGTGTGGCACTTCGACCAGATGCTGCTGAAGGAAGCCGATATTGTTGCTTGAGATGGATCTTTATGTGTGCTTTGTTGCCCTCTTAAAAGAATATACTCTTTGGCCTCTCTGACTTCGTTTTTTGCGCTATGTGTTTCGGACTCGGTGTTGGTGTTAGACGAGAGGTGTAGTTATCGTGGCTTTTGGAACTTCTAGCCTTACTATCAGTAGGTTATGCCTTAGAAAAATTGAGCAATTTTGTTTGGACTGCTTGACTATTACATTCAATGTGTTTTTAGCTTGAATCCGACGTTTTATATATTTGTTTTAGCTTCTATATCATTCGATGTGTGTGTGATTGTATGTAGATTTACGGGTAAAAAATCACTCGATGAATCACTTGATATAGGATTTAGTTTGGTCATATGCAGTGAGAGAACTCAGAAGGCCTAAACAGTCAATTAGGGACAGTTTGGAGGTACATTAGCAAAAGGAATTAGGAGCTTTACTTTGAAATCATTCAACTAAAAATTATTCTCTTGGTCGTAAGTCAATTAATTTGTTATGATAATTTTTATATTGAAACTATCCCAAATACATTTAAAAAGAATAAACAGAACAGAGTATTTACCATTAACGTTAAAAAACTAATAAAGTAAATATTCTCTCTGAAAAATCGGGTAATAAACTAATCCGTGAAATGCAAATATCCATTTGAAAACCTAGTTTAATAGTGCGAATAACTTCACCCGAAAGAAAAAACTTCCGACCATCACACACCCAATAGAGATACGCCACGTGTATCCACTTTTCACTCGAATCGCCAGCGTTTCAGACTTGTTCAAACAGAGTTTCCCCAAATCTATATATATTTAAACCGGACAGGAAAATATTTCTAATAGAACAGCAGCTCTTTCGAGAAGCCATGGCAAACCCTCCACAGATTGTATTGCTTTTACCCTTTCTATTTTCCGCAGCAGCACTTCTTTCACATGCCGAAGAGAAATTCGACGTTCGCAGCCATTTATCCACTGTCACCAGGTCTCTCTCTCTCTCTCTCTCTTCGATTTATTTGCAGCGAATTGTAATTTTGATTTTTTTTTTTCTTATTTCGGTAATGGATTAGTTCGATTTGTTTTTTAATTGTTGTAAATTATGATGAAAAAATATGTTTGTGTTAATTGTGGTGGCAAATGGCTTTTGCATGTGTTAGTATCAGTCGTACGGTAACAATTATGCAATCTATTTTTCTGTTTGCGATTCAAATTTTTTTCGAAATATTCAATGTATATTGTTTCTTTCGTTTTAGTTGGGATAGTTTTTTGTTAGTTAACTTGTGTACATATCTTCTGTGCAGATATCATATCTCGAAGGGTATTTCTGAGAATTCATTTGTTCCCTCGAATATTCCTGATCAGTGTAAACCTATTCACTTAAATCTTGTGGTAATCATCTCTCAAATTTCTTAAATGTTGCTTTCATTTTTTTTTATTATTTTTTTTTTTTCATTTTCTCCGATTCTAACTATAAATGGTGCATCAAATTCTTTAGTAGTTTTATACAATGTTGTAGGCATTTTGAATATCTATATTTACTTACTATGCCATTGGGTGGGAAAATATTATGAAATTTTACAAAGTGTTTAAAAGACCTCCCGAGTAAACATCATCGGCCACGTATCTTACTTTCTTTGTTGATGGAATTTATGTTGCAGTTTGCTAATATTTGCATTACAGACTTGAATCGTTAATTCGTTATCAGTCAACAAATGAAACCCGCTCTGCTATATTGCTTTGTTAGTTGCGATTATTTCTAGGCGCCCTTAAATTGGTGTGTCTTGTGCCACAAGGACTTATTCTAATGATTGTTGGCTTGGCAGGCAAGGCATGGAACTCGCGCTCCTACCAAGAAAAGGATGAAAGAATTAGAATTCTTCGCCACTCGTTTGGGAGTCCTTTTGGAAAACGCGAAGGGGCAGAAATCCACTGTCATTCCTTCATGGTTACGGGGATGGAAATCTCCTTGGACAGGAAAGCATAAGGGTGGAGAGCTGATTAACGAAGGAGAAACTGAACTGTACGAGCTCGGTATTAGAACCAGAGAAAAATTTCCGGAACTATTTAATGAGAATTACCATCCTGATGTCTTTCCAATTAAAGCCACTCAGGTTCGTTGTCATGGTCCGTCTATTTACTTTTGCCCGCACACAAACAACGCGTCCCGTTTATAATTTAACATATTTTATATTCTGGTTCTTGGTAAGAGGTGAATGATCATGTGGAAATTTTGTCAGTGCTGTTAAAATTTGTATTTTTCGTATGGTCAATTTCAGGTGTCTCGAGCCTCGTCTAGTGCTGTGGCATTTGGTATGGGGCTCTTTTCTGATCGAGGAAAACTTGGACCGGGGCGTCATAGAGCTTTTGCAGTTACCAGTGAAAGCCGTGCAAGTGATATAATGTTGAGATTCCACGATTGCTGTCAAAACTACAAGGTAAGATCCTTTCCTCGACATTTTATTAAGATGCAACATTTTACTACTTATCTGATTTGTATTTATGCCTGCATATTCGGACCATATATAATCATTTTAAGGATATTAAATTGTAATGATCTGTACTGATTTAAGTTGTAATATTTATATACTGTCCGGTGGATTGATTTCCCTCGAATGTTTCGAAGTTCTGAACAATCTTTATTCGAGATCAATATTGTCAAGAAGCGTTAGCTATGCAATTATTACTATATACTTGTAAAATATATATTTTTTTCCTTTCCGGTTTGTTGTAACTACTGAAAATTTCCAATGTTATTTTTGTGTATGAATAGTCATTCAGAAAAAGTCAGGAGCCTTCTGTTGATAAGCTTAAAGAACCCGTACTAAATGAAATAACACAAGAATTAGTTACACGTTGGGGTCTGAATTTCACACGACGGGATGTATCTACCCTGTGGTTTTTATGCAAACAGGTAATTTTGTGTTCATTCTCTTTTCAATCCTCCACTCTAACTTTGTTTCCTGTTTAAGATATTAAGTATATTTGTTCTTCATTGACTCGTAGGAAGCTTCTTTACTGAACAAAACGGATCAAGCCTGTGCCCTGTTTACTCCATCTGAGGTATTGAATTATTCGAAACGAGAATTACGAATTTAGTTTTATTTGGTTTATTTATTTATTTATATAATTTTGCCTTCAATTGAAGCCTATCTAGTGCTGTATGGTTATAATGATACTCGTAATATGTTACACGAAACCCGTTCATCGTAATTTACGTTATTAACTAGTAAAGGTTTGTAGGTAGGTTTGCTGGAGTGGACAGATGATCTCGATGTTTTCATGCTTAAAGGCTATGGTAATTCATTGAACTACCATATGGGAGTTCCGTTACTTGATGATGTCATCCAGTCGATGGAGCAAGCTATTATGGCTAAAGAAGGTACATTGCTTCGTGTTCTTTTCTTTTCCGTTCCTTTACTTGTTCTCACTCTGTTAATCCTACTGTTCATATTCTCACTCTATAATCGTGCTTTGTAGACGGACTTGTTCCTGGGAGTTATGAAATGGCGAGACTAAGGTTTGCTCATGCAGAAACTCTGCTTCCGTTTTCCTGTTTGATTGGGCTATTTCTCGACGGACGTGGTAAACGTTTTTTCGTTCCCTTCAGCTCTTCTGTTTTCTGGTTTACCTGTTTTGGATCCACCCTTATATTAGTATTCTGCTGTATTATCAGAGTTTCAGCAAATACTAAACGAACAACCTTTGCAACCGCCTCTTAAACCTCCCCAGAAGAGAAGCTGGCGTGGCAGCACAGTTGCCCCGTTTGCTGGAAATAACATGCTTGTTCTATATAGCTGCGGCTCAGCCAACGAGACAAGCAAATACTTTGTTCAAGTATTGCACAACGAACGCCCTGTTCAACTGGCTGTAAGCTTATTACACTCTAATTTTCTGGTTTTTGCTAATACTGTTCTGGTTGTTTATCTTTGTTCTTTATAATCTTCTCTTGCTTTCTATTGATATGATAAAAAATAAAAAAAGAAAAAAAGAAAAAAAGAAAAAAAGAAAATATTTCTCACATTGGCATGTCACTTTCTGTGGATAGGGTTGCGGAAATTCGGATTTTTGCCCATTTGAGGAGTTTAAGGTACGCTAATTTTGAACTTTTAATTCTGCGATTTAGTCTAACGAAATGATTGTTAATTAAATAGCTTAAGAAAATTCAATATTTTTTATTCTCTCAGGAAAAAATAGCTTATCCTCATTTGAAGCACGATTACGATGCTCTTTGCACAGTGGAGTCTGAAAAACCCAAGCAAACAGCTCCAACTAGTACGTTTTCACGAATATTGAGTTGGATTTTCTCGTCCAGTGCTAAACAAACCAAGGAATCTGAGTTGTAGATCGACACGAGGAGAAGCTAATGTTTCTTTACTTGTTTTTATCGAACCGTGATCAAAATTAATAATTGGTCTCGGCTTTCGTGAGGGTGTTATTCTCAGTTACACTAACAATTCTCATTTCAAGAGATTACAGTTCCCATGTAGCTGACGATTTATTAATTTCATATTCTTCGTTGTAAATATTGTTCTCGTTGGAGTGGTTTAAATTTTTAAAGAAGCTCGACTTAAGGCAACAGGATATTTTTAGAGCAGGAAACAGATTATAAATATAAACTAACTAATATCAATATCATGGTTGATAAAAATAGGCAGAAAAGACAATATTTGCAAGAATGTATATAATCAAGACAGCTTCTATATATAACTTTTGCCAAGAAATTACAATAATATCCAAGAATTGTAAGCCAAAATGAAACAATGACTATAAACATTTAGAGTTCGTTCCAAGAATTCTTCGAGGAGCATCAACAAATGAATCTATTGGTAGTGTCTTCATAGTAACACTCCATCTGCTTCACAAAACTTTGTTCCAACATGATTATTTACAGAACTTGCCATCTTGTCCATTTTCAGTGAAATAATTCACTGAAAAGGCGTATTGATGGTTACGATCTATGTATATATTTTTCATCAAATGTCAATCGGCTTTTCCCGTGTGAAAAAGTTGATCAATCCAGAAATCTCTCTGCTTCTTTTATTAGTAACCACTGTAAGACGAACTTCAACGACATTCGCAGGATAAAAAGCAAATCAAGAGAAAACAGTTGGACTATGTTACCCTTGCACCAAGGGTAAATTACTTTCCCGACCTCGTGCTTCGGCTGTGGTTGACAAAATCAAAATCAGAATAATTTCATTTGCAGCAAACCATCATCAGAGCTTTCTTTCACCTAATGCACCTCAGCAATTGAAGCACTGAGGTCTTCCCTAGACTGCGATCTCCTGCTTTGCAAACGCATTTGACTTCTGTCAGGTGTCCAGAAAGATCCTAGGTTATTATTATTACTATCAAACTGCATCTTTCTTAAACTACCCGACGACTGACTATGTGGTACACTCCTCGCGGGAGAATACAACGATGACTCAGCAAACTCAATTCCACCACCACCACCACCACCGACACCTACTGTTGGACTTAGTGGTGTCTTAGCCCTTCCATCCCCTGAAACACAATAATCAAACTAATTTAGAAAACTTTGAGTAAATCAAATTTCAAGAATTGCCAATGTTTTATTTAATTACCTATATCAATGGGACGACTCCAACGAAATCGAAAAGGAGACGGAATATTTAGAACCGATCCCGATTTCACACTGTTATTATTATGCCTGTACAACGGAAGATATTGCCTCCGCAAAAATTTCGGGACCCACCACTTGCCAGCACAGCTCAAAGCACAAAGCAAGATAAACAAAGAAGCAAATAAAACAGCAAAAAGAACAAACGGGTTTATCTTCACTCGAAATATATAATAGCTCCGAAGTTCCGCACTGTACGCAAAAGCCTTTCCAGCTTCAAATAAAGCAACGCCAAGTGTCCAAGTGATGCTTCCGGAACCTACTATCACTTGTCCATCAGTAATGTGCAGTCCTTCTCTCAACAGTAGCACAACATAAGGCGCCCTAAAGCAGTACTGTTCTATAAAAGGCTGAGGTACAACACTCTCTCTTGCAACATCCCAATTCTTGTCACAAAACTCACGGCCCTTCTCTAACACATCATCAAGGGTAGAATCGGAAGTTAAGTTGAAAAAACGGTACACAACGTAAAATCCAGACATGGCATAGAAATGGCCCATTGGACGAGGTAGATTCTCTGCAAGTGCACATGGATTCACTTCGCAATCACTTCCTCTACTATGATTGTTCCATTCAGACAAATTGACAGCAACTTTAGCAAGCGCTCTACATTCTTCCCAATTCGGAGCTCCAACGAGCTGAACTGGAGCTCCGGATTTTTCCCCTTTACCCAACTCCGACGAACAATGTGAACAAATGTACAGCTCTTTGTAACCAGACTGCAAACAAGGGTGCTTAATTTCGACTTTGCCACTTGCTAAATCCGAATCAGTGATCTTCTTAAGCCCTTTGATAATATAAGCAACGGATTTATCGAAAGCGTCATTGAGTCCAAATCCGGATAATGAGTAGGCACTTAGATGATGGTTAACAGAGCCAATGCTTAGATTTAAGCTCGTTTCATCATACTTATCTTGTTTGCCTTCGAAAGTAACCTGCAGTGAAGAGCCACCCAAATCGAGCGCACCGTAAGTTTCCTTTTTAGGAATGGCCCCCAAAACCCCGGTGTGATAATTTAAAGCTATCCATCCATAATAAGCTTCCTCCATGCCAGTGATGACTTTTACCCACTCTTTTTTGCATAAAAAACGAGAATTCTTTAGAATGGAGTAGGCATTATCAAGAAGCCATTCGGAATCTGAACTCGGTAGCCTTCGAACTCCAGCTGTAGCACACAGAAACAGAGAAGTAGTTTTGTGAAACTTTTTCGGAATTTGATTTTCAGCCCATTGGATAAGAGGTTTTATTGCTTCGCTCAAACCCGAAACGTTGTTCACCAATTTGCCCAATCCAGGCTCTGTCTCCATTCGCTTGTAAGCCCGCCCACTGTGGGACACACTTTGCAAACTTTCAGGCAATGATTTTAATAAAACGGGGAGATTATCGTCTCGTTTGTGATTAATGGACGCCTCGTATACATAAACGCGGGTCCCGGTGCTACCACAGTCTAGGACAACATAGTACTTTGAAGCTCCTCTGGACCACTTGGAATAAATAAATTGAAGAGCGAATAAAAGGAAAGAGATGAATAGTAAGATGACGAGGACACAAATGACTTTTAACCACTTCTTCCGTGTGGATGAAATTCCTGGTGATATCTTCTCCTTGGACAGAGTTTTTATACCATTTTCTTTCTGTAATAAAAATGGTGGAAATCTATTACCTGAAGCTATATCTACTCCGTTTTCTATATCAAGTTGGCGGTAGGTAGAAAAATCTTGAAGGGAAGAGGAGTGTCTCAAATTAGTCTTCTTCTCTGAGCTCGAAAAAGGATGAGCGTGAACAGAACTAGGCATAGGAGGCAATCCAGGTGATTTGTATGTAGAGGCCTTTTGGGCTGAAAACAATTCTGCGAATTTACTGAACACCATCTCTAAAGGAATTTCGAGTAGTAATCAAAATTATTTGTGTTACCCCTTCCGGAACAATCTACAACAAATTAGCAGATTACGTGTAAGCTCTGCAGAAATTGAGTGCAATGAACTAGTCGAACGAATAACATGAGCCCTGCAGAATCCACATAACAAATACAGCCATATTATTTGATAGAGGTGAAAGATAAATGACAAACATAAAACAGCAATAAACGTATAGCCTTAACTATTGAATTAGAGAGATGAAACTAGAGCAGAAACATTAAGCAGAAAACAATAACATAGGGTATAATCTGAATCGAGAACCAAGAGTTTTCTCATAATCGTTGACGGTTTACGAAGATCTTAGAATTTGGTCGTAAGTTAAACTTACGGTGTTCTAGTCATTTCCATGTATGCAAAGGGAAAAAATAAACATCTGATTTGGAAAACAATATCCCATGGAACAACGAATATAAATAAAAGTGCAGTGGATCACAAATTCAAATCGAACGTCTTCTATACAATTTTGTTATTTACAGACATCTCCAATCAAACCTAAAAGCCTCGCAAAGTCCATGAATGGACAAAATACCAATCTATGAATTTTCACCCGATTTAATTAACATTACATCATTCAAAATTAGGAACTCTGAAAAATATGAATTTGGATGCATGGTGAACCGTTGATAGAGATTCAACTCAATGCCAGACGACTTAGCAAAACTTTATCGATACATTTGCATCCGCCTACACGTATCTATCCCCTCACTACTCATCGATACAACAAAGCTTTAGTTACATACATCAAAAGGATCATTTACCAACCGTGACGCAAATCGAACAGAGAAAATGGTTCACTCCGTAAAAATAATTGAATACGTAAATCTCGGTATCATCAAAAACTTTAATTCCATGTTTCACTGCTGCAATTCTGCAGTTATGTCGGATTCACAAAGAAAGCCATTACACCACACTACATCAACTTAAGCACTCTGTATCGTATCAAATATTGCAGAAACGGACGGAATGGGAGAGAAGAAAGAAACTCGAGATCAGAGATCTTCGTAAGCCTACTCACTAGAAACCATAAAACGAAAATGCAGAGATTCATAAAACTTAATTCAACAAAAATACAGACGATGAAATTTCGAAGGAAAATTAGTTTTCATTACCATCAGATCCTTGGAAGATTAAAATCAACTGCCGAGTTTGGCGCTCGCTCCATACAGCAGATCCAAAAATTCCGACGGCGTTTGCTGCCTTTCCCCCACCGACAAGAACAAAACCCCCCAACAGCTTCTACGTATTGAACTACTCCACCACCATCTCTCTCTCTCTCTAAAATGTAGTGAGAGAAAAGTTTAAACCTTTTTTTTTTCTTTTTCCTTTTTTTCTTTCTTCAATTGAGAACAAATGAAGAGCAGTTTTTGTTTCTTTGACTTTTCTATCGTCAATAACTGTAATTTTTATTTTTATTTTTTTCTATGGTTATTTTATTATTTTTAAGCATTTTAATGCATAAATTAGTTATTGTATAACTGTGAAAAAATAAAATAATATTATCGCTGGAATAATAATAAATAAAAAATACACCAGTAAAAATAATTAATAAATAAATAAATAATAAAAGGAGAAAAATAAAAAGAAATGAAAGGTAAAACACTTTATTGGGCTCAAATTAAAAGTGGGCCGGTCTACTCATTCGAGAGAAAAGCCTTTATTACCATTGGACTAAATTTAACATATTTGATACAAACGGGGGATAATCTCACATAAAGGAAAGTTGAGGGCTGTAAATTTTAATTACCATTATTAACTCACAGCCCCATCCCTTATTCGCGAGTGTGATTTCTCTCTCTCTCTCTCTAAAACCATTTCTCACTCTAAATTTACTAGTCAATATTCCGAAGCCCTTTTTATCTGTGTCAGATTTCCTGTCCAGAAAACCCTAACCAGAAAACCCTAATTCACCGTTATCGACCCGAGTGAAGCCCCGACGAATTCGATGGCGACAAACGGGCTGAACCTGGAGTGCCGGATGTACGAGGCCAAGTACCCGGAGGTGGACCATGCGGTGATGATACAGGTCAAGAGCATGGCGGACAGCGGCGCGTACGTTTCACTCCTGGAGTACAACAATATCGAGGGCATGATTCTATTCTCTGAGCTCTCCCGCCGCCGTATTCGGAGCATAAGCAGCCTCATCAAGGTCGGCCGCATCGAGCCAGTGATGGTACTCCGTGTTGATAAAGAGAAGGGTTACATCGATCTTAGCAAAAGGCGTGTCTCCGAGGAGGATATTCAGGGCTGCGAGGAAAGGTTCAATAAGAGTAAGCTGGTTCATTCGATTATGCGACATGTTGCTGAAACCATGTCGGTTGATCTTGAGGTTGGTATATTTTGTAAAAAAAGATTTGATTTTTTTTAATTACTTGAGTTGTTTGATGAATTTGGTGACAATTTGGGTTAGGAAATGCATATTTGGTGATTTAGGTTGTTCTTTGTAAGATGAATTATAGCGTTGAAGGTTTTCATATGAATTCCCCAATTATTTTGTTTCGCCCACGTATTTCATCGCTATTTCGATTTGATTTCATACTTCATACATTTGTCTCAAGTTGGAGTCTGTAGTTATTGTTTCCGCTAGTGGTCTTTGATGCAGTATTTCTTTAAATTATTGAAATTCTTACCTTATTGCCCTGTTCTGACTTCTGACATTTCTATGAGTTTTACTAATGACAAGTAATTTGTGGTAGGATCTCTATATCCATGTTGGCTGGCCGTTATACAGGAAGTACGGCCATGCATTTGAGGTGAGTTTCTTTGCTGGTTCCAAATTTTCATTTATAATTATTGCTTCAATTTTGTTTATGTGAATCAACTTTAATGAATTTGCATACAATGCTACAGGCTTTTAAATTAATTGTTAATGATCCCGATTCGGTGCTAGATACCCTCACCCGTGAAATCAAAGAAGTTGGCCCTGATGGACAGGAGGTAGTTTTCATTCACATTAAGATTTACATTTATCATCTTCAAAATGTTTGTATGGCCATTTAAATTTAGTTATTCTGTAGGTGAAGAAGGTGGCTCCTGCTATCTCGGATGAAGTAAAGGATGCTCTAGTGAAAAACATTAGGAGAAGAATGACGCCTCAACCTTTGAAGATACGTGCAGATATTGAAATGAAATGTTTTCAGTTCGATGGTGTTTTGCATATAAAGGTCTTAATCATTCACTTATGACCCATTCTTCAACACTTCAATATCTTACGGCAAGAGAAGTTTCTTTGTTACAAGTACTATATTTGTGATGGGATTTGCAGGAAGCCATGCGTAAAGCTGAAGCTGCTGGCAACAAGGATTGCCCTGTTAAGATTAAACTTGTTGCTCCTCCGGCATATGTCCTTAACACACAAACTCTTGACAAGGTAATTGCTAATATTTTGATGGTCGTGCAAGGTTGGTTATCTTGAGATTGCTACATGTTCTATTTAACTGTTAAAATACCACAGCGTTATCCTCCATGAATATGTTGAAAAAGGGCATGTTATTTAGGAAATGGCTCGCTAATCTTGTTGACCGTCGCTCATATCATCTCAACTGATTTCATGTCAAGTGATTCATATTATCTGATTTGTTAGCAATTAAGGCACCATATTGCATTACAGGAATTTTATGCTGTCCTTAGCTTGGTAAATTTTTTAAGTTGAAATTAGAGCTTTTCTTGTTAGTAGATTAGTTACATTTGCTAGAGCTGGACTCCTGCTCAGATACAGTACTGATGCTTGGGCCTTAAAAGTCTACAACTTTGAGACGTTAGTCGTGAGCATCTCCAGGCATCATTAATTTAGTTCATAATATCTTCATTTGCTCGGTTAGACATTTTATCATTTATCCAGAGATTCTACCCAATGCTCAGTTTTCAGTCCTGACTTGATTGTGCCACTTCTAATTACAAGCCTTCTTCCTATTTCCAGTAGTAAATTTTAATTGGATTGAGATGATTTTCTGAAGAAAATGGAAAGGTTAATCTACATGTCATATATATACTACAAGATGTTCTTGGACTACATTTCTGTTGCCATCTTGTTAACATTTTCTACCTGTCTTCATTAATTGTTGTTAGTTGTTACCAAGTTCTATACAGCATTTCTTAGTGGACTTTGTTTTTCGCTTTGCATTGAAAAACAAATGGTCCCCGAGAGTTTAATTGAATAACCACTGCATTGCTACTTCACTCTGAGGCATGGTTGCACACTAAAATTATACTTTCTTTATATCTGTGGTATAATATATGCCTTCAAATCTTCTTTTACCCTGTTGTGAATCTCTGATTCCGAATGAGTATGGAAAAAATATTGGCATGAGTTGAGTTGAGTTCTATTGCTAAGCATTGCCATATTGCTTCGCGTGATTGTGATTGTGATATCAGTGCTCATGTCATGAACACTACCATGAAAAAATTAGCGCACGGTTGTCAGTGTATGTAATGTTGCATTTTATGTCAATTATGTGCAGTAGTAACAGATGGAATTTCTAGATTCTGACTTCACTATATTTTGCAATGCAGGAGCAAGGTATTGCAATCCTCAACAAGGCAATTGAAGCATGCACTGAAGAAATCGAACGTCATAAAGGAAAACTTACAATCAAGGAGGCAGCAAGAGCGGTGAGGATCACTACATATAATTTTCAATTTTACTTTTCGGTTCTGTTTTTTGTCATCAATGACCATTTTCCCCATATCCAAACATATAATAATGAGTATGGTCTTGTATATAGGTGAGTGAAAGAGAAGATAAATTACTTGCTGAACAAATGGCTAAGCTAAGTCGTGAAAACGAGGAAGTCAGTGGCGATGAAGGCAGTGAAGAGGAAGAGGATACTGGAATGGGAGAGGTTGATCTGGAGAACTCCGGAACTGGTATAACAGAATGAATATTTTCAGTTTGAGAATCTTGATCGACATTTTTGTTTGTTTTTTCTTCACACCCATCTTCGAAACTAGATACAGTCGTCGTGTGTAACTGATATTAAAATGTGATTCTTGGAGTAGTGTTCATTTTCTTTTTTTCAAAATGCTCTCAATTTTGGCAAAGACATTCATACTATTCAATCTTTTAATCATGGATATTGGGGTCACTCTCGGTTAAATTCAAGATTATGTTCTGGTTTATTTATAGTTTATTCATGTCTTTACAACATTAATTTCCTCACTTTGGTTTAAAACAGAGCATGCACATACAAATATGTATATATACTAACAGAAGAGTAGGTTAAGATGTTGCTTCTTCTCTGTTGGTTCTTTGCTTGACCAAGGAATTTGAAGAAAAGCAGAATTAGCAACGAACCAACTGAAACTAAAATCTACCTTGGCTCAACTTGTATTACAAACTTCCAATGGCAACCGATAAACATTACAACCTCTTACAAAACTATTATTCGATATCGCCCAACACCAAATCGAACACAAAACAACTCACAAAAATACAACAAATTACATCAAAAAGTGGAACCACAAGCTGAAAGAGGAAGAAAAGAGAGAACCCAAGAATAAGAGGCATTTATTCTAGTTTGAAAACGACTCCGGATGAAGTTAAATAGCAGCAGATCCACACAGAAAATTCTCCGAGTCTATAGTAATATTGCCACCCTCAGCCGAAACCTTCCGAGCATAACAACCCAAACTATCATTCACAGAATAGCTTTGATCCGTACTCCCCGAACCAGACAAAACCTCATGGTCCTGAACAGACATCCACCCGTAACATTTCTGTGTATTCGTTAACTTGCTCTTAACTCTGCCAACTGTCTTCTCCTCCTTTAACGACTGCTCCAACTTCGTAATCACCGTGTAGTTACCATCTCCCGATCCAGGCAAATTTGTGGTAGTTATTTCAAGAGGGTATTTACTCTCAACGGTAACTTTCGAGATCTCGATCCCTGTGATAGTACTCACCTTCACCTCAGTAGTCAACTTCACTTCCTGCTCGATTTTCTTCTCGGTTCCGTTAAGCTTGAACTCGATCGTGTTTTCGAATTTCAATTTTCTTTTTACGAAAGTGGTGAAATTGCCCGCACTGGAATTCACCCACCCTGAAAACTCGCTTTCCCTCTTCGACTCGATTTCGAACTTCCCATTCAGCTGATAAAACTTCGATTCACGTTCAATGCAGCTGCTGGGATCGCTGTACTTTATAGCTCCAGCCTGGACTTTATCTGCTTTATCATCCAGCCATAAATGCAGATTCGCATCGACTAGCCAGAATGAGATGGCGTCCGTAACACCAAGACCGAAGTAATGGGTTTTGCCGTCGAGCAGCATCCCCAAAAACGGGGTTATGTCGATTTCGTAAGAGGGCAAATCGAAAGCTCCGATGGAAACTATTGGCTCCCAGAACAGAGGATTGATACCTCCGGTGAAGATCACCGGAAATGGAATTACAGATCCGACGGCATTGTCGTCCAGTTTGACGAGGACTTCGCGGTAGGCACCATGGCCTCTCTGTGTGGGTAAGCCGTTCATCTCCAAGTAGGCATCTGGGGGGTTTGAGTACCAGAATTCATCGTTGCCGTGAAAGGAAACGTACACCTCGACCACGGCTTTGTACGTGTTGAGTGGGATTTGAATCCCCTGCAAAACCGCGTCGGATTCGCTCTTGATTTTGAACCAGAACCCTTCGTCTCCGATCGCGGAGATTGGGATGATTAAATCGGCCGGATTGTCGTTCAATTCGGAGGAGTTCTTCCAGTCGAGCGAGACTGAGTGGTGGTTGTGTTTCAATTTCCTGATGGTTGACTTTCTGCGATTGACGGCGGCGGTGCCGTTGGTGGTGCCGTTAGAGACGTTGTAGTACAGGAGGGTGACGTTGACTCGGTAGACGCCGGTGTAGACGTCGTTGACGACGTTCTCCAGCATTACGGCGAGGGTGAGGTTGGACTGACGGAGGATGGAGGAGTATTTGGTGGCGTCCTTGCGGAAGCTCCAGAATATGCCCTCCGGCGTCGGCTCGGGGGTGCTGGTGCGGAGGATCTCCGCGCCGGAGAGCCATACGGCGGCGATGCGGGCGTACTGCGATCCGTTGGAGGCGGCGGAGAATTGGATGACGGCGTTGGTCCACGTGCAGTTGAACGGAGTGGAGTAGTTGGCGGTGGTCGGCGGGAGGTCGACGGTGTTGCCGAATGTGTGGGAGAGTACGGGGAGGGTGCACGTGGGGGTGAGTGAGTCGTACGGGAGGGGGCGCGTGACCTCGACGTACTCTGCGGTTGACGACGACGCGTTGGATTTCCGGGGGATGTGGTGCTTGGTGAGGTGCGATTCGTGGAGCGGCGGCGCTGAGGCGGCGGTGGCGAGTGGGAGGATTAAGGAGAGGATGAGAAGAAGAGGATGCATTTTGTTTTGGGGAGGAGGGTTTGAGGAATTGCAGTGGGAATGGAAAGATCAGAGAGAGCAGTGGAGAAGAAGGCGGGTGAATTTTTGTTTATTGTTTCTCTCGAGATAAACTGAGAGCAGTTCTGGATTTGTTACACGTGTATGGCTGAGATACGTCGATTTTCAAACCAACTCCATTAATGCAAGTCATCAAACTGAAGGTAAATGCTTATTTGATTCGTGTTGGGAAATTTACAGGTTTCATCTCTCAAGTTTGCTTCAAATTTACATTTGGTTTCCATGTTTACAAAAAATATATTTGGTCCTTTATATTACAATAATTTAACACTTTTGGTCATGTCCGTCAATGAACCGTTAATCCATCAGTTATGATAGTGATGGCAACATGTTTGATTCTGTTAGTTTTAATGGTAAATTGACTAAAATAACTAAAAGTGTTGAATTATTGAAACATGAGGGACTAAATGTGTTTTTTGTGAACATGGGGGACCAAATATGAAATTGGAGCAAACATCAGGGATGAAAACTATATTTTTCTCATTCTTGTTGGTATTATTTTTTTATGAATATTATATATTACAATAATTTATTAATAATCTCTTTGGTAACTCATATTGGAGGGGAAAATATATGAAATTTGAATTTGGATCAATTGACACAATTCACTTACTTCAAAGTTCAAACGCTAGGTCATCACTTGAAGAAAAAATGGTAACTTATTTTCGTAATGTCAATGATTGTCTAATTTTAGCATATAATGAAACATAATGATTGTTGGAATAAATAAAGAAATGGGTCCTCACTCCTCACACTTAGCTATCTAGCCAACACACAAACCAAATTTGTGAGATATTTCTTTGAGTTGTTGGTGATTTTAATGTGGAAATTTGGATCTTGTGGTTTTTTGAAATCACCATTTATCTACACATATTAATATGTTTTTTTATTTATTTTTAGTAAATATGAATAAATGGTGATGTTGCATGTTTAGATTTCTGTTTGTGTTGCAATATGAGTCTTTGTGTTTTGACTTTTCTAGTTAAGAGAATAATTAATATAATAGAATTAGATACAAAACAGCTGTCTGAACAATGAGGAGCAGCAGTAAGATCCAAATGTGATAGGTGGTGCAGTTGCATATTTAATTCCAGAAAAATAAAAATAAAATAATAAGACGATCGTGACAATTACTTCATATAAAAATTGCATAGTCAATGGATTTAAAAGAGATTACAGAAACGAAAAAATCAAATTAATTAAACAGTTTAAATATAGTAGACTATGACATGATCTCATCTCATCAATTCAAAGCATCTAAACAACTAAAAAATATTCGTGCCGACATACACAAACATCTTTTTTCTCTGACAACAATAATTTTCTATCCCCACCCCAAAAGTTTCATGATTGTAGCCAGACGTTCAAACTGTTAAATTATGGTCTGCCGATGAGAAAATTAAATTATGAAAAAAATTCATCATTTTTTTATATGTAATTCAACTATAAATCTTCTTATATGTATACTTTCGTGGCATTAAATTTAGTGAAATATTCTTCAGTTTGTACTCGTTTTACCTTATTCAAGGTCCACATTTTGAAATAAAATTATTATAAAATGTGTTTGTTGGCTTGTAAATATCTGATTGTGGTGTATTAAAAACTACATTTTTGATAAAAGACGATTACAAACTAGAGAGCACCACGGAATCTAGAAAATTCTGTTGAATTTAACACTATAAGAGTGTATGTGTCAGAATATTCATAATTGAGGGAGATGGTTGTAATTATCCAAACACAAGGAGGAGTTCTTTCGTAATATAACTTCACTCTCATGGGTGAGTGTAATTTAACCAACTATATGATTGGTGAAAAAAAAAAAAGAGTTTTAAATCACATGATGTAAGATCAAATTATGAAAAAAAAATCCCAAATGGTAATTACAACCATCCATTCAACTATGAATCATCTTGTTTCAAAATGTGAAGTTCGAATTGGATAAAAGGGTACAAACTGAAGAATATTTCACTAAATTTGACACCGCAAGGGTGGACGCGTAAGAATATCCATAGTTGAGTGGTGATTTTAATTTTCAAAACGTGAGGGATTTTTTAGTAATTTGACCTTACCTCAGAGGTGGCCTTAATTAACCCTAAATTTTATGAAATGCTTTTTACGATTTGAAAATTGCTATTTACGAATTATAACAAAAAACACTTTATCTCTCTAAAACCCCAAAACTTCCCAAAAAAATACAAAAACCCCCCAAACTGCAAATAGCAAAAAAAAAAAAAAAAATCGAAATCAAGCTTGAAGAAGGGTTGGGCTTCGATTTTTTGAGGTAATTTCGATTTTTTTATGTGAAATATGCATTGGGTAGGTCGATTACAAAACCAATTTCATGTTAAAAAGCCCTACAAATCGATTTGTAGGGTTTTTTTTTTGCAAAACTACACGCCTTGGGCGCCCATCTTGGGAGTTCAATTAAAAAAAAGAAAACCTTTTTTTTGCACTGGACGCCCAACTCGGGCGCCCAAATGCAGCTTGCACGCCCAACTTGGGCGTGCACTGCATGAATGGGCACCCAAGTTGGGCTTTTATGCATTTTTTGGGGATTTTTGAATTTTTTTGGGAAGTTTTGAGGTTTTAGAGAGAGAAATGTTTTTTGTTATAAACCGTAAAGAGCAATTTTCAAACCGTAAAAAGCAAGTCCCTAAATTTTATATCCACCCCAAAAGTTTCATGTAGTAGCCACACATTCAAACAATACAATTGGTCAAAAATAAATAAATAAAATTACCAGCAAACTAATACATAATACAAACCCTTGCCTACTAGAATAACAAAAAAGAAAAAAAAACCCTTACATATTAAGGCAAGCCCCCTTTGCCTTGTAGAAGCTGAGTGATGTCTTCATACTCCAACAGCTTGGAAATGCACAAGGGGGTCCCACCTTTCTTGTTCTTGGCATTCATATCAGCGCCTCTGTTTATCAGAACCTCGACAGTTTCGACGCTCCCTCCTTCGACCGCCAGGTGTAGGGGCGTGTGCCCCTCGCCATCCTGGCAGTCCACGTCAGCTCCCAACTCGACGAGTATCATGACAGCGTCTTTGTTACCTTTGATAGCTGCCACGTGGAGTGCTGTGAGTCCGTACTGATCGGAGAAATTTGTGGTTGCCCCTTTTTCGAGTAGTGATTCGAGTTTCTCGATTTCTCCACGCCTCGCTGCTTGAAGTACCGCTTCGCCACGTTCGAGTATTTTAACTATGTCCCACTACAAGGTTTGTTGATAAAGATTGATGAGAGGCTGTATTTAGTACATTAATTACATACTTGTCTCTGTATATATGAACCGAATCATGAAATTGAACATCATTAACTTCTTAAGGCTAATCACGGAAATATATGAAGACGACAAATTCAGTTGATATGAAGAGTAGATCAAAATTTTCAGCTGGCAGCAATTCTCTTGATATATTCATTGTCATATGCTATATCCTACACCGAACTAACGACTCTACGAAGCATCTATTGCGCTGCTAAGATTACGATTCTAGTAACCCACAGGACTGAACGAGATGCATCAACTTAAGTAGAATCGAATATCAACAGTTTTCGTGAAATAAATAATCAATGAATCAAGAGTAATCTACCAATCAACGGTCCCGAATCAATAACAAGATCAGAATACGACAACTGCATAACCTAATTAGTCCGCTCTTTAGCTGAAGCACTTTATGCATTAGATCAAGGTTTGTGCCCCTGTTCTTTCGGCAGAACGAATTTTCTTGATACTTCACGACAGGAAACCTAGCAACGAAACTCTTATCTTCTAAACAGTCGAGCTTAAGCCTAAACGTGCATGTGTAAATCAAATTGATAATAGTAAGAAGTGATTAGTACTGAATAATGCACATTATGCTGTTGAAGGATTTTCTGAAGATAATGTGTCCGAAATCCGAATCTAATGAATCTCTCTTATAAACCACTCTTAATTAACGCCTAATTTCTGCCATTGTTTCAGCTTCTGAATTTATAATACCATCAACCCTAAATCAAGATCCAATCAACAGCACAAATTTGAAATTTCGATAACCAGCAAAAAGAAAAGGTGAGAGTACTTACGTGGCACTTATCTCTTGCAACATCAATGGCTGAACGGCAATGGTCCACGTCACCAATGGTGGGGTCCGCCCCAGCCCCCAACAGCATCTCCACCATCCCTCGGTCTCCATTCGCCGCCGCTCGATACAAAGCCGTCCGGCCGTCCTTGCTCCTCGCGTCCACGTTTGCGCCTGCACTCACCAACACCCTAGCGCCGCCCAAATGCCCTTTACTCGCCGCCAGATGCAGCGGCGTCCGCCCCTCCTTATCCCTGCATTCAACGCCGCCGCATTCTTCCTTGGCCAGCTGTTCGACCTCCTCCGTCTGGTCAAACGCCGCCGCCACGTGCAATTTCGTCCAACCCCTAGACGCCCACTTCACGTCGTCGTACAGTTCCCGGCGTACGTCAACCCTCAACCCCGCCTCCAAAAGCAAACCCATAATCTCAGGGGACTGAGTCGCAACTCGGTACAACGACTCGGCATCCGGAGCCGACAACTCAGAAACAACGGAATGCTGTCGTTTGACAATTCCTCTCACCGCCTCGAAATTACCTTCACCCACTGCGTGAGTGAGGAGAAAGGGCCCCACGAAGTAGACCTTGAGCTTGACGTCGTACGTGGGGCGGTGAGGGGCGGAGTTGAACCACCGATTAACGATCTCGGACTGAGTCGACTCCGGCAAGTCAGCACCGAGTTCAGGTGCGACGGCGGTTTTCAGAAGGAACCGGTCGGAGGGGGAGCGGGGGAAGGCGGCAGGGAGGTTGGACTGGGGTTTGAGGACGATCTGGAATGTGGCGGAGGAGAGCGGCGCGACGAGTCCACTCGGCGGGTTGACCAGGAACTTGTGCGGGGAAGACGTCTGCACCTTAAAAGCTACCGGAGAAGTTGAAGTGAGTGATCTGAGGCAAATATTTGTGCGGCATTTGCATCCCAAAGCGAAGTCTACGTGGATTTCATGGTCGGATAATTCGATTAATTTCTCCATAGCCGATAATCTGAGGAAGAAGATAGGAAAAATGGATCATCCATTAGAGATTTACTGCGTGTAGAAGATGATGCTGATGTGTAAAGTGTGAAGCTCACGTGACCTTGTTGGGGGTCACCGTCAATGGAGAAAGGACACGAGTCGCCTTGCTTCGTAAGAAATTATTATTATTTTATCAAAATTTAATAGCAAGTACTAAGTAGTATCAAACCATGTGTCATGTTAACACATAATTTCAAAATTATATATAACAACAAGCATATATACTAAATATTATACAATTTTATGATATAAGTAACACATTTTCATAATTGCATGTCAAATTAATTAATTCCAATTATTTAATTTGCATAGATAAACTATTATTTGCATATCTAATTTATTTATTCTACTATTGTTTTTCTTTTTTTTTTTTTGTGTAATAACTAATAACTAATAATGAATCTAATTTTGAAAATAGTACTGATAAACTGTGCACCGGTGGGTAACTTTAGTAAGAGAACATTCTTTCGGCATGCACCAATTTCTCTCTCTGCTCAGTTTGTTACACTGCACGGCCTCTGCACGACTGCACATATACATACAGTATACATACACCACCAAATCTCTCTCTCTCTCTCTCTCTCTCTCGGTAGTGTGTGTGTATATATATATATAGTGGTGTTGCGCAGCTATGGCTCTCAAATTTCTCAAACAATCGGAAAAAAATGTTTTACTCTCACCAGCTTCTAGCTCGAAAAGCTCCGCTCGGCCAAATATGGTGAATATTTTACACTTAATTTCTTCACTGTTTTTAATTTAGCTTTGTTTTTCTCCCTCATCGACCATTTCGTAATACCATGATTTCTGTTTTAGCGCTTAATTACTTTGATCTGTATGGAGCATGAGCCTGGATAAAATTATGACCGTTGTTTTATTGCGCGAAATATGACTTAGTGCTCTGTTTTGGGTTTGGGATTTTTGTTTTTGAAGTTTAATTGTTTCCTTTGTGTGGGTTTTGACGTGAATTTGAGTTCCTGACGATCTTCTGTTTGTTAATTTGTCTGTGTGTGACTGTGTGTTTCTGATTTTGTATTGCGGTCGTAGAAATACCTTTTGTTTGATGATTTCCCTTTTCCCTTTCCCTGTTTAATTATTTATTGCTATAGTAATTTCAATTTTTCTGAAGTAAGATTCAATTTCTGTATGTAATGTGTGTGGCTGTTTCTCAAGGATGGCTGCAACGATGCATGCAAAAATCCATCGGAGAAAGCTAGACAAGCTTAACATTATCAAGATCTGGTAATTAACTCTTCTTCCCTACATAATATTTCAGACAAGCAGTTTTGCTTTTACGATTCTGTACTTTTAGCTGATTTCCTGCTATTTTATTTTTTTGGTTACAGTGAAGAGATATTGAATCCCTCGGTTCCCATGGCTCTCAGACTTTCCGGAATTCTCATGGGTAAATCGTTTGAATTATCGTTTCATTTAATCTGATTTATTCGTTACAAGAATCTTAACATTCTTTTTGCTATTTCATGTTTCAGGTGGAGTTGTAATTGTTTATGAAAGAAAAGTGAAACTCCTCTACGGTAGGCTTCGTTTCTTCAACCTGGTTAATTTTTTCTCCAATTTCTGTAATAAAATGCTTACATACTAATTTTTTATTTAAATTCTGATTTACAGATGATGTTAATCGTCTGCTGGTAAGAACATCAATTTGACCCAATTTTCCAGTCGACGTTCTCTCATTTTTAATTAGGATATGTTGTTGTCGAGTTTTGAGATTAACTATTATCCTTACTCTGCTTAGGTGGAGATAAATGAAGCTTGGAAAGTTAAGTCTGATCCATCAGATCCAACTAGACTTCCCAAGGGCAAATCTCAAGCCAAGTGAGTTTAACCATCACCTTTTTCTTGATTAACGTTATTTTCGATGAGCCGTAATTTAAGCGAATTGATTGAATTTACTCTTGGCTCATTTCATAAACTACCCTCAAAGATTAATTATCCTGGTTATTGGAAAAATTTGCGCAAGATTTTACTCATGAAACATTTATGCGACAAAGCTATCACAGAGGTCAAAAGGGCAATTGCAATTTTCTTCCCCTGTTAACAGCTGTCCTCGAAAAACTGATACGCATTGATTTCGATTCACATTTTCCGTTTTCCTTATGTAGATATGAATCTATTACACTGCCACCTAATCGCAACGAAGACTTGGGGGAGATTGAAGAGTCTGTGCCATATTCTAAGGGAACTGTCATGATGGATTTTCAACAGACCTCATATATTGCCATGGTATTCATTTTTATGTTCTTGTATTATCTACTTGGCGTTGATAAACTTGGAGGTCTGACGGTTGCTAATTTACGAAATAAAAGATGTATTGTGCGTTTCTGTAGCAGCTGACAATTCCTAACATTCTTATTATGCTAATGTGAAACATTTAACTGCTCTAAATACAAATGGTGTTGTTTGCTTCGTATTAGTCAGTGATGTTGAAACTGCAATAGAAATTATGTGGTTTTTGCTGTCTTCGACTGTGTTGATTACTTGCATTTCCCCGTTTCGAAGAAAACTCAGAATACGTTTTGTGCAGAGGTTGGATACTGTGGATGACACCTATTTAAATCCAAACCTTGAGGGTGATTTAAATCATGACTACCATCAAGGTATATGTTGTTCGATCTGAAATACATACATTATTTTGCTTGCCATTTCTTTCCAGTTTTCTAGTTGATACAAATCGAGTAACCCCTCCATCCATGTCTATTTTGATTGCAGCTGATGCTGACAATATTACCTTGGTTGATAATTATGATTCATTCCGGGCTGATACCACTACATTCAATCGCTTTGAAAGGTGAAAAAATAGAGACCGCTGTTTAGGTGTATCTGTTATAATCTATGTCTAGAAGTTGCACAGCTTTATTTCACTTCTTTTTACGAGTATGTTCTTGATGTAAAGAGTGTTGTAACAGGTTTGATATTGAAGGGGATGATGGGACACAAATGAATTACACTCCGCCTGAACAGACTGAGATCCCTAGTCTCATACCGTCGCCACCTCGTCAAGAGGAGCACCAAAAATGTAAGTAACCGTAAATGGAATCAGAAAACATAACCTCGATCCTTTATTTTCCGGCAATAGATTACATCTCCAGTTTTAGATTTTCAATATACTGACCTCGAATAAAAGTAGGACAGTGTTCTGCTATTTGCTTATGTATTGTCATCTACTTGCTGAAACTACTTGTGTGTTTGCCCTCTGGCGTAAAAGAACCTTTTCATACCATATTTTTCGTCTCTACTTTTTATGTGCTGGGAATAAGTTGTTTCCTTCTGAATAGCAATAGTCGAGTGTCAGGGTGTTGACCAATGATTATGATAATGTCTGAAATTGCAGATGATGAAATCCAGGAACAACATCCCGAAGAACAAGTCAAGCAGCAGTCTAATGAAGCCGAGGAAGCTAAACTGGTAGTCTAATATGTCTCTAAATAAATGTTGTACTAGCATAATAATGTATTGACTCTAGTAGAGTTTTAATGCATATCTTTGTTGCTGCAGGAACAAGTGAGGCGAAAGCTTGCTCGAAAAAGAACAAAAACACCTGCAGCTTTAGCAATGGACTATGAACAAAATATCATTCCTGGTCATATTTATCAATCTTGGCTGCAGGATACTTCTGACATCATGTCAAACAGAAGAGGGAAAAGAAAGGTAGTAATACTTGTCAATATTTTACCATTTTCCCAATATGCGCGTCTTAGATTGTTTCCTTCCGCTAAACGATAAAGCTTACTAAAATAAGTTCAGCTAGTAGACCAGAGTGATGACAGAACCTATTTCGTTGGTAGCTCAATACACTAAAGAATGCACCGTTACATTATTTTGTTTCTGTTTAGTTTGAATTTAGCTAAACGTAATATGAGTTGAACGACATTAGAGTCAATCTCCTGCAGCCCAAGGATGCTTGGTCCGTGTTGAAGATATCAACTAAAATGGAACTTCCTTCTGTTGTGCTGATGGAGAAGTTAATTGCTATTGGAAATGGACGAATCGAATATCCAGCACCCCTTTTGGATATGTGGAAGAAATGTACCCGACTTCCACACGATTCACCATCTGGTTAGATTTTTTCTTCACTCTTATATGCACGGCACACTCTTCCCTTTGAAAGAACAACTTAAAGATTACAGTTTCTTCATTCATACAGTTCGATCCGCTGAGCGTCAGCCACAAGAACCATCATCATCATCTCCACCAGAAAGAATGCATTTTATGGAACCCATGGGAGATGTAAGCCACCCTCGAGTTTCTTTTCAATTTTTTTTGAAAATTAAATGTTGTTCTTTTTGTCTAATTGAGAAACTTGAACGATGCAGCCTTTCGAAGAATTCCAGAGTAGAGTTGACTCCTTATCAATGGGAGTTTCAATTGAGAAGCAGAGAGCAAATACACACAACAATGAGATGCCACCAGAGATCTTGATGAAGGAGTTGAGGAACAACCTTAGAAACAATGGCTTAGGATCGAAAGAGGTCAATGGAGTGAGTGACTCTAAAACCAATCTGATGGCTACCCCGGGAAATTCTGGTATGCTTTGTCTTCGTCTGTCTTAATTTGTCGATTTTCTGTAATAGTCAAATGAACAAAATGTGTGTATGTATGATGCTGCAGATGATGAAATTAGGTCAATCCCCAGCTCAGGATCTGGACATGGTTTTTTCTCGCACAACTCAGAAGTCAACGCAGGATTGTGAGTTTGTTCACTGGAACTCTTACAAAAGCTATTCAGTTTTTTCGTCTAACAAAATTCAGAAATTAATTGAGGAGATGACAAAAGTACTGGACATAGTAAATTGCTTTAGTATAAAGAATGAAATTATAAAGTTCTTGATTGAGTTTGTTCACATGGTTCAGGTCCGGCAAAAAGAGACCCTATTCTGCTTCTAAGAACAGCGGAAACGGCCTCGAGCCAGTGGCGGAGGAGCTTTCATGGCAGCATTCAGATCCAAGCTTTAAGTTAGCTAAATTATCCAAAAAAGGGCCAACACCAGATCATGGTAAATTAGTCATAAAACTGTTTCTCTCTTACTACTGTTTCCTGAAATTCACCTCTGAATATAATAAGTACTTGTTCGATTTTTTTGTCGATTTTGCAGATCTTATGGTGGAAACTGGACCGACACAAACGCAAAAGCGTCCGGTCACAAATCAGCCACTTGATCCCATAACAGATTCTATCAGAATGTAATAAATAATATTTATCATTCCTCAAATTTTCTAGCATTCAAATAAGCTTACGATCGAGGTCTGGCCGTTCGAATAAGCTGTTTTCAACGATTTGAATGCGATAAAATGCAGGCACTTGAAGACGCACTTCGAAACACCAGGATCTGCAAAAGAAGAATCTCTAAACCAACTGGCTTTCGGGATGAACAAAAAGAGAGCAGCATCGCTATTCTACCAGACCTGCGGTATTTCTTCATCTTCCACCACCTAATTTCTTACACTATAAAAAAATCTTCGAAATAATATTTGTGAATAACGTGACAGTTCTTGCTACACGAGACTGCATAAAAGTCGAACAAAGGCTACCGTACGGCGATATACTAATCTCCCAAGGTGCGAAGATGTGAAAGAGAAACAGAGTTAATGCATATATTACAGAGTAATCCCTTCTTTAGAAGTTAATCATTTTCAAATTTTCAGTAATTGAACTCCCATTATATAGGATTCCAAGCTAATATTATTTGTTACTCTGACTTGTGATTTGAATTTAGTTCTAATATATGGAGGTACCAAAGTCTAATTAATATTCGTGTAAATAAAATGATGTAGTTAAATTGTGTGGTGTGACATTAGATTGGGTACTAGAGCTAATGCATTTAGTACAATAGAGTTATAGACGTCTCGACAAACCATAACCATTAGACCAATTCATATTGAACAAAACTTTTATATAAGCGAAGTACTAATTATTAAAAATACAAATAACTAATAATTAATTGCTTGATTAATATAAATTATTATGGTCAAACAAAAAAATGAAAAAAAGAAAAAAAATCAAATCTACCTCCATTGCTTGGCTCGACAAGTGTTTGATGGATTGATGTAAATTATGACGACTCAATGGAGGGAGAGAAATAACCCATATATAATGCTCTAGATCCTATGGCAAACCATCCGAACTGAATTTTTGGCATGTACGAATATCTAACTAGTAATTCAGTTTGGAATTCGTGTTTTTTTCCCAAAATTCCGTAAATTCAGTTTTACTTAAAGATTTATTGATTTTATACTAAAATTATAAAGAATAAATAAAATTCAATTTTAATTATTTTTTAACTATTTTAATAAAGTATCGGTAATTTGATAATTTACCGAACCAACCAGTATATTTCAGCTCCGCAAACTGTATAAAATTTTGGAATATCACATAAATCGAAATTCCGATACACTTGTGACTGGCTAATCGAGCCTTGTTAAAAGAAAAAAAAAATCCAGTCCATTAACATTAAATATCTCTCCAGCCCGTTTTTCCTTTCTTTTATTAATTAATTAAATTAAACTCTATATAAAGACGAAAGAAATTAAATCAAATTAGGGCTTCGTTTTGGATCACAATCAACAGAGATGCCGAGGTCGGAAGTTTACCGGATCGAACCAAGCTACGATAATAGCCTGGTTCAACTCAATTTCATCAATTTACCCCCTTGTACTTGTACAATTTTCCAATACAGCCCTTTCCTTCAACTTTTGACAATTTTGACTCTGACGCCGTTTGGTCAACTCTGTAAATTACAAAATTGCCATTGCCAATAACGCGTCATTTCTCCTCCGTTAAAATTGTCATTTCTTCTTCTCCCACCACTTCCCCTTCCAAGATATCCCCAAATTGAACCCCTAACTTAATAAAAATCAAGACCCAAAAATTGATCGATTCCACCCAGTGCAAAGAAAAAAATATATGAATGTGTGAAACTTTCTCTTTTCTAATCTCGAGAGTCAAAATGGAAAAAATTCAATATTTGCGTCAATATTTTGACTCTTGACCAAATGGCGTCAGAGTCAAAATCGAAAAAAGTTGACGAAAAGGGTTGTATTGGGAAATTGTACAAGTACAAAGGGGTAAATCGACGAAATTAAGAGTACGAGGGGTAAAGTGGTTCTTGGGCAGAGTACAAGGGGGTAAAGTGGAATTTACCCTTAATTAAATTAAACTCTATATAAAAACGAAAGAAATTAAATTAAATTAGGGTTTCGGTTTTGGATCACAATCAACAGAGATGCCGAGGTCGGAAGTTTACCGGATCGAACCAGGCTACGATAATTTCCTCGCTGAATACGATCCCGAAGATCCTTTTTGGGCTTCTTATGTGCGTTTCGTTTTTCCCCAACTCTTTCCTCCGTTTTTCTTTTTTGATTTCATCTCTGTTAATTTTCATTTGCCCTAATTTTTTTTTTTGGTAGGGTGGTAAAATAGTGTTCAATTACCGAGGTAAACCTGATAATCCCAGACAGTATTACCCCAGAGCTATGGTCAAAGATGCAATTCGTACCTACAATCAGCAAAACGTATGCTTAATTAATTGTTTTTAATTGGTTTCTATGAATATATTTTTTTTGAATGAAATGAAATTTGTTGAATGTGTGCAGAAGAAAAATTACTTTTTGGTGGATCTGATAGAATTAGCTGGGCATCCGATCACGGGGTTCTATTTCACTGCGCAGTTTACAGCAAAGGATATTGATTCGGATGTAGTAGAAAATTTCGAAGCAGTGATTCACGAAGATATCAGCGGAGTCTTCACTCAAACTAAAGTTATATCTGTTTGCATTGTTCCTCCTCCTCCTCCTGCTCCTCCTGCTGCTGAACAAGGTACAACTTCTGATGCTGAAGGTGCAACTTCACATTGCTGCTGCTGTAAATCTCGAAACGCGGTAATTATTAATTATCATCGTTTTTCAATTTACGATAAATAATTAGTAATCTTCTTTAATTTGCAGTTTTGATCTCTAGTATTTCTTTCCTTAAGCTGCTGTATATTACATGTATGCATGCATGTATTTCTTACTTGTTAGCTTAGTGAAAATCGAACAACTTCACAAAGCGCATCAAATGTCGTGTTATCGTGTTATATTTTGGGGTGTTAATGTTATGTTATCACGTACTTTATATTTTGGATGCATTTTTACCTTAGTAAGAACTGCTATCGATCGAACATGCAAACTTATAAGCTAGTTATTTTTTGCGCTTTTTCTATTTTTATATGTTTTGCAGGTCTGATTGACAGACCAGCGGCTGGATAGTCGGCACGGCTAGTTGAGGAATAACAGGGGCTTGTTCATCATTAGACGGGATCGGAGCTTGTTCATCATTAGACGGGATCGGAGCTTGTTCAACATTACAAAAATTCTTTAATAAAATTAGTTCATGTAGGTTTAGTTAATGAAGGTTAGGGGGATCGGAATAAAGCTTTTTACGGTATGAATAAATTACATACATTTATTCGTATGTATATGGTGCATTAATTACAGTTTTAGCAGGGTCGTACTTGGCGATTTAAACGTTTTTTTTTTCCTACAACGATTGAAACGTATTATTAGATAGGGTGCTGTAATTTGAAAAAAAATGAAGAAAACCAAACTGAATTACGAATAGTTTTCGTCTCGCAAACGTATACGGAGATATATATATATATATATATATATATATATATATATATATATATATATATATATATATATATATATATATATCCAGTTATTTCATTCAGGTTAACCAATCGGTGATGAAACTATGAGTAACATCTGTTGGTATTGTTCTTGAATTAAACTGCAACTTCACGTTCGCAAATGCGTACCGAGATATCCATTTATTTCAATACAATGCTATTGTTTGTAACCCCTGAAAATTGAGTCTGTACATATATTTCCGAAAAGAAAAAATAAATAAAAAGATAATAAATTACTCATCTCTTTTTTTTTACCCGAATATTATTAGTATTATTATTATTTTGAAGTCACAAAATGAACATTTTAGGGTTTGTCTGTCACTGTAGCTAATTGCTTTTCCATATCTTGTCCGTACACACACTCAAAAGTGTTTTTCAAGAGACATTTTCTTTTTTTGGTATTTATTTTGTACAGAAGTCAGACCAAGATCTCTTTTTTTCAGACAAAACGTATCTCTTTATGCTTCAATTTCCCTTGCAATTCACTCCACCACTATTGAAAAACCTAAACCTGCAGATTCTGCACACACATACCAGTTTACCCTTTCTTTTGGACTATGGTTTGCAATTTGTTGACCATGGTTACGGTCCCTCCCTCTTGCAATCAACAATTTATAGGGCCGCCTTTTATTAACCTATTTGCTCTTCCATGGTAGATAATTAAAAACTAAAAATATTGAAATTAAAAGAAAGTTGTTTTTTCTTCTTTTTTTTTTTTTTTGTGTATGTTGCATGGATATGAGTACGCGGACACGTAGAAATGCGGAGAATTATAATACAAGTTAAAATATAGAAAAACAAAATTAATCAAGGTGTCCGATAGATGATACATTTCGAACTTTATATTCAAGATCGAGAAAATATTTTTTTTATTTACAATTTATTAAACTCAAACACGAACTGCTATTAGATAGGCGCGCGGTTCGAGCTGAACAAAAAATGCATGCATGTGAGGAGAATGTGAAAAACGAATGTTTGTTTATAAAAGTATTAAGTGATCAACTGTTTAAGCAAAAACTAACCGCTACGATTAACTATTAATTATCTTAACTAATCGAGTCCGTCAGCTGGAGTACGTACTGCCACGTGGACGACTGCGATCGCTCAACTACTCCAATACATTTCTTCTTCGGTAAGGCATATATAGATCGATAGACGATACATTTTTGTATGGAAAAGTTGGAGTTTCAAAGTTTTATTCAACCTAAAAACCTCAGGAGTAGTAACAATTAAGTCTTGCACTCCATGTTTTGCAATATCCATACCTTTTTATATGGAACAGTTGCTATTTATTACGACGGCCTTTTTTAATAGGTCTCTCATTTTTACGAAAACGCCATTTTAGGGCATGCCATTTTGTAACCCTATTGTCAAGGGACCCAAGCTGCAAAGTCTATCTGATCAAAAGATAAAGGAGATAAATTAATAAAACTTCTACATTTTTTCATAATTTTATTAGGGTTACTAAATTTATTTTATTCCCACTGTTTGTATACATAAAAGTTGGACTGCATGCTTTTTCAGAAGTTTGTAGCTAGGGTTAGTTAATGTATATATAATTAGTTAATCTTTTTCTCCCTTCTATATATATGTATATATATTTAACTACCTACATACTTAATTTCTCTCTCACTGTTCCTTAATACTACTATACTACTTTCTCTATCTCTCTCTTTCAGGTATTACGTAATTTCTCTCTCAGCCATCACTTCACTTTTTCTCTAAGTCTTTCTTTCTTGTCTTCTCTTCTTTCAAATATTTTTTGTATCGGCATGCAAGCAGGTCATGGACGCGGAAATCACGGTAGTGAAGTTTTTCACGTTGAAGGAACACGAGTGCTTCAATCGCTTCGTTGAAGATCAGAAACAATGTGGTAATTATTATAACATTTTATATGATCCACAAATAATTTACGGAATATATTTGTGTATATATACTAATTGTACGTTTTGAATCTGTGTTTGTTTCTTAATCAGTATGTTGTTGGGCTTTGGTTGCGGCGGAGCTTGTGAGTTACGCAATCAAGACGAGTGATCGGAGAAACAAATTCATGAAAGACTGGAATGCTTCCGCGCAAGAACTCGTCGACATGTATCCGAAACGATATCCGTCTAAAACCGGACGTTTGCATGTCGAGGGTTGCCATGTTGGGCACCCAAGAAGAGCCCTGGAGTACGTGAAAGAACACGGCATTACTCTTAAGACGGTCTACCCATATGTGGCGCGTAGACAGCTGGATAAAGAACCCCCTCTTGTAAGTTTAGTTTGTCCCATATTATATCAATAGTATATAGTGTAAATTAATTATTTGTTATTTACTACAATTTCATTTTTGTGAAACAGTTTCCTAGAATAAAAATAAGAGGGTATACGAGGTTGGATAAATACGGTCCGCATGAGAAAATATTTCATCTCTTAGCCGAACGCCCGGTCGCGGGCAAGGTCTATATGTCTGATCCTTTCAGGAAGTGGAAGGGGGAGGTGCATTTTAATTTAATTAAATATTTTTCCTAACTATAATAAATATGTTTTCTAAAATATTCAATTTAAAATTTAACTCTTATAAATATTTATTTTTGCAGGGAATTTTTAGCGAAGAAGTAGTGGTGCCACCAACTGATGGGATTTGGTGGCACGCGGTACTTATTATTGGCTGGGGAGTCGACAGCCTCGGAAGAAAATTTTATCAGATAAAAAATGCATGGGGCGAAGGATGGGGTGATCACGGCTACGCCAAAATACTGTGCGACATAGTCTACCCATTGTGTTACGTAGAAGGAGACGCATTTTTTATGAAACCATGGTATTATTCTCATCTGTTTTTCGATTAAAAACGATTGTTGTTACTAAACTAAATTTCCTTACTTTTTTTTTTTGCAGAGAGAGCTTGGGATCATGGTCAGGTATAATCTCTATTTAAAGTTATTTCATTATTAATTCTATCGATCTTCTGCCATGAATGAGTGCTTCTGAATGAAGGGTCTTGATTTACAAGGGCAAATAAGACATTTCCATTTGTATTGTACTACTACTAATAATAATTTTAATATGTTTTTTTAGATAATCTTGTTATTATTTGTTTTGAATTTTTTTGAGAACTTATGATCAGACAAAATAATTATTATTCGAATATTCACTAAAGAATAATGAATGAAATATTAACATAATCGTTAAATTATTTTCGTATTTATTGAGTAAATATTTTTTTTTTCTTCATGAATAGTGTAAAAACAAAAGTTTCATAGTATCCTGAATTTTAGATTAGATTTTCTATTTAGCATATTTCATATTATAATGATATAATCTAACCTCATTCCTTCTTGCCTTGTGAATAATAAAAAATTTCTTGCTTGAAGATAGTTAATATTTTTTTTCTAACAGCTTTCTTCCATATGCTTTTCACTAGCTTTTAACTCGTGGATTTTCCGATCCATTTGCAGGTGATTTAGGGTTTGAAGAAGCTATATGCTTATGGAATGTCAAATTGTGTCACATTTTAGTGTTATACATGCAACCTTAAACAAAGTACTTATCTGTATTTATTGTTTCTTGTGTTTTTACTAGACATTCTGATTTGAAACAAGATTTGTATATAAACTAGGTTTTATCTACTTGAACTTGGTTTGTTTTCTTTTTCTGAATTACTGTCCCATTTGTTTGATAGTAATTAATAGTATGATGGATAACACTTTTAGTTATTCATAATTGGTGAATAAAAAGGTACATACACATGCATACATGATAACTTAATAAGTTGGATTCTGAGTACTTAATATCCTGCACATGTTTTATATTGCTTAGCTTCCGAGCTAGAAATATTCGACTTTACTCTTCCGATAATTAAAATAAATTAGAACATCTACATCGGTGTGTGTAAAAGACAGACCGTTACAAACAAAATTACAAACCTTAAAAAAAAACTTTTCAAATGGATTAGAATTTTGCTAGTCGATTTCTAAATCTGATTTGCTATGAAAGTAAAAAATGGCTGAAAAATAGAAAATGAAAAAAAATTAAAATAAATAAATAATCATATTTAAAAAAAATACAAATATGCCATTAGGATTTTTTAATTTAGGTTGCCACTTTTATATATAAAGATATCGAGATATATATATATATATATATATATATATATATATATATATATATATATATATATATATGTTTGATACTCCATATCTTTTTTCACATTTGATCGATGGTAATACAATTTTTTCAGTAGTATCTAATAGGATACTGGTGCTAGGTTATGGGTGTCACAAGTTAGACCAAAGTATAAGTAATTACTAGATAATTAGAAAATCTGAATTAATGAAAATATTTAATGCGTCTGCCCAAATCAATAAGTCTGCCCAATTAGGATGATGATGCGTTGCCACGAACTATTTACTCTTGGGATTTGGATTCTCCTGAGATCTTAACAGATACTTGTTTTTGCATGCAGAGACAGAAAAAAACAAAATACAAATTAGAAAAAAAAAACACAGAATACAGAGGAAAACTTGTAATAAAAATGTAAAAAGGTAAATTAATTATTACCTATATATGGCAGGCGGAATTAATGTACCAGGCAGGTAAAGTATCAACAGACTCTACTACAGTTTCTTTAATTCCATCTAAAACCTGTGCTCCTAAAGTTATGGCGGCATTGGCACCATCAACTTTCGCTGTAAACTTCATATATAAATAAAACCGGCACAAATACTTCCAATGATTCTTATCAGGTCCACCACACGGTATTGTGTGGATCGGACTGCATGCATGCACACAACCATATAAATTATAAATTATTAAAAATATTTGGCCTAATTAATTAGATGTAAAAAATAAAACAAAATTTAAAGAGCGAAAAAAGAAAAACGTCATACATACGTGTTGTCGGTTAATAGAAATCAATTGCTAGGTCGACCAAATTAAAGGTTTGCAGTATAGCAGGTTTCGGGGATCATATCCGGGGATATCTCGGTCGTACAAGAGCTTGTTACCTCCCTACATATAGTTTATTGGGCTGATTAAATTATCATAACAAAATAACAAACAAATGAAACTATAAGAAATTAAACAATGGAAGGATTACCATATATTCATCGTCATCGTCTGATGATTCATTCCCGTTAAACTCTACTCCCCCGCCGGATCCACAACAAGCCATCTCTCTCTCTCTCTCTCTCTCTCTCTCTCTCTCTCTCTCTCTCTCTCTCTCTCTCTCTCTCTCTCTCTCTCTCTCTCTCACACACACACACACACACAAAGTCGTATAAGAGAAATTCGAGTCCCTAATAGTGTGTTTAATTTCTTCTTGTTTTTTTTTTTGTAGAATTTTCTTTTTTACTTCCCACTTACAAACACTGCATTTCGTTTTCACTTCCCACTTAAATTGGCACTTGTTCTGCTTCATGAAGACTACACGTACAGATACAGAAACAAATGGAGCCAGAAAATGAAAAAAGCAAAAAAAAGGGAGTTTTTTTAAATATAATAAATATTTTTTTTAAGAAAAACGACATGCTTTTTGGAGAAGTTTACGTGTGATTGGGTGAAAACGCAGATAAAATTAGAGCAAAGTTGGTTTAATCGGAGGAAGATTGTCGTCGAGTGTGAAAGGAAAGCAGAGAGTTTTGAATAAGATAGGAAAAAAAAAATAACTATTTAAACTTAGGTTCAGTCCCCATCAAAAACTATTTTTACTCCTCAGTCCCTACTTTTTGAGTTTTCTTATGAATCACTCCTCAGCCCCGCGAAAAAAATACTTAATTACCCCTCTACTAAAAAACAATTTGCAAACGCCACAAGCCATAACCGTCAACTACTACAAAAATCTCAACACTCAAGACATAATCGTCAAACAAAAAAAAAATTCATTACCAATTAAAAAGCAATTGTCCTCCATCAGAAATTATTTAGTGTAATATATTTCTTATTATAATTGCTATTGTCCTGTATTTAAAAAAAAAATCAATTTTAAAATATTATCCCGTATATGGAGAAACATGAGTAGTACATTATTAATTAAAAAAATAAAAGGTATGTTTCATGCATTTGCACGAGTAAAATTGTAATTATGTTAAATATTGAGGATCTCTCATACTAAAAAAAAAACTCAATAAAAAAACCGGATCCTAGGCGTGACAGAATCCCCCAGCACATTCCAAAAATCTAGCGCATTAAAATACATAGCAAACCCTTTATTTATATCTTCAGGATTTGGAGGTTCAATTATACAATCAGCAGACAAATGAGTTCGAGAGGGATAGAAGAGAGCGAAATTATGGCTTCGAAATTAGGTGAGGAGCAGAAATTGCATTCCAATGAATCAGGCGACGAAATGGCTTCGAAATTAGTGGAGGAGCAGAAATTGCATACCAATGAACCAGACGACGAAATGGCTTCAAAATTAGCGGAGGAGCAGAAATTGCACGTCAATAAATCAGACGACGAAATGGCTTCGAAATTAACGGAGGAGGAGAAATTGCACGCCAATGAATCAGACGACGAAGCCGACATTGAGGATGATCTTAGTGTACGTTCCCTACATGCAACCCTTCCCTTTTGTTTAATTTTTTTTTTTTTGGTAATTAATAATGTATTTGCCCTAAAATTATTCAGACAGCTGTCAAGCTCATGTATGACCGAGATATTCCTGGCCATAAACCCGAAAATCTGGAATATTGCAAACCTTTTGTCGATCTAGCAATTGATTCCTACAACAAAAAACACGTATGATTTTGTTTTTGCTCTTTAAATTTGTGTTTCTTTGGTCGAAATTTAATGATTTATAGCTTTTTTTTTTATGTGTAATTTTGTGCCGGTTATTATTGTTGCAGTCGACACATTACCGCGTGGTGGAGCTGGTCAGAGCAATTGGGTGTGTTTGTGCCGGTTATTATTTCTTTATGAAGTTTACGGCCACTGATTCTGATACTGATCCTGATGCTGCTACTAAAACTTTCGCAGCAGATATTTTCGATGGAATTTCAGAAACTAAAATAGATTATGTTGATATCGTGGCTGAAGGTGCAAGTTTACAAGTTGATACCGTACCTTGCCACTATTTTTAATTTTCGCCGGGCAGCTATGGGTAAATTAACTTTATCAAATCATAACTTTGCTTTGTGTTAAAAAGTTTCTTCTGTATGCTTTAACTCTTGGATTTACCGTTGCAGGTGATTTATGGTTTGAAGAAGCTATATATATACTTATGGAATGTCAAATTGTGTCACATTTTAGTGTTGCAACCTTAATTTTTTATTGTTTATTGTGTTTTTTCTAGACATTCTGACCTGAAACAAGATTTATATATTATTATTATTATTTCTTATGTATTTTGATTCATAATAAATCTACAGTTTATACTGTATCATGTTCCAGTTCAATTTTAGGGTTTTAAATGTTCGTACATAAAATAAGTTAATTCTAAAATACTGCATACATTGCAGTTGTATCTTTTGCCACAAAGTGAACCTGATTAATAATAATAATCCCATGTTTTCATCATGGATTATTTCTTCTTGTTTGTAGGAATTAATAAAAATTGTATTTTTCTCAGCCTCTCCAATTTTAAACACCTTTTAACCATCTCATCCACTGCACCGATTTGCTCCAAAACTCCCTTCCCTCAAAATCCTCGGCTCGATATTTTCCGAACTCCCCTCCCTCAAAATCCTCGGCTCGATATTTGCAACAACCTATTTTCCTCGGTAGACCCTACAAAGCACCTAGCCAGATTTATTACTTATTCCCTCTTTTCATTGCACAACGGCTTTCTCCCTGTCACAAGCTAAACCAATACCACCATCCCAAAACTAAAAGCGGCGCTTTTCTCTCTCAATTGGCCTGTATGGAAATACCCGGGATCAAAATAACCCCCTAAAAAAGGACCATCAGCTAATTCCGATAATGTTATTTTCAAACAAATACAGTATTAATTAGTAACTTAATTTTCCTTTTTTCTTTTTTCTTTTTATTTATTTATAATTATGTTAAATATTGAGGGGTCTATTATATTTTAAAAGGAAAAAAGAAAAGAAAAACCCAATAAAAAAACCCAATCCTACCTGTGAAAGGTTAGCCAGCCCATTCCCGAAATCCAGCCCATTAAAATACATTGCAAACCCAATATATATATATATATATATATATATATATATATATATATATATATATATATATATCCTACGGTTTGATGTTGAATTACGATCTGCGTTTGTACGGAATGAAATCGAGAGAGATAGAAGAGAGAAAGATGGCTTCGAAATCAACGGAGGAAGAGAAATTGCACGGCACTGAATTGGATGACGATATTAAGGATGATCTTAGTGTACGTTCCTCCAAACCCAAACCCTAACCCTTCCCTTTTTAATTAATTTCAATTTCATCTGTTTGTTGTTTGTTCTAATAAATAATTTATGAACCCTAAAATTATTCAGACGGCTATCAAGCTCATGTATGATCGAGATACCCCTGGCTATAAACCCAAAGATCTGGAATATTGCAAACCTTTGGTCGACCTCGCAATTGTTACCTATAACCAACAACACGTAATTTTGTTAATTTTTTTTTTTAATTTTTTGATTTTTTGATTTTTTGCTCTTTAAATTTTGTTTTTTGATGTGGTTGCAGTCAACACATTACCGTTTGGTGGAACTGATCAGAGTAATTGGATGTGTTTGTTCCGGTTTTTATTTCTTTATGAAGTATTCGGCCACCGATTCTGATTCCGATGCTGATGCTAAAATGTTTGCCGCAGATGTTTTCGATGGAATCTAAGAAACTACAATAGATTCTGTTTATATTGTGGCTGAAGGTGAAAGTCTACGAGTTGATACCATACCTGCCCGCTATTTTTGAATTTCGTCGGGTAATTCAACTTTTCTTATATAATTTTGCTCTGTGTTTTGTTTCTTTTCTTAAGCTGTTGTTCACAGTTATATATATTATGTGTTCGGTCTTCAACATGTTGGGAAATTTGTCTTTTAACGAGCATGCTTTGTTGAGTTCATCGAGTTTGTCTGTGTTATTGCATTGAATAAGTAGATCTATATAGAAGGCTACAAAGTCTAATTAAGTTGACACAAAAAGATTGAAACCGGAAACTGGGTTCGGTATTTGGTGCGAAGTTTGAATTTATTCGAGGATATGATATCAGTAGGCATGAGGACTTTATATTTATTATTAATGATATAATTATATTCGATACGGTTGTTGAATCTTGTATCCACAGAAAGAAATTTCAGAAGTTAACTTTGAGTAGTTGGGATTGTGCAAAAGGTGTAGAATAAGTTGTCGACGTTATCAATTTGCATTTTGTAGTTACTCGTACTTCTTATGAATTGCATTGTCGAAAGACTTGAGTAACCTTTTAGACTCCTCTTGAATCTTGCGGATATACTGATATGTCAACCGCTCTGAAAAATAGTTGTGGCCTTGAAGTTATTTTATTGATACATTTTTTTTTTGGGCGACGACTGATGTCCCAAAAGAGAGTCTTGGCTACCTAAAGAGTTGCACTTTTTGAAGTCGGAATTAGATTTACAATTTCCAGCATGAAAATTTTGAGAAACGTTTAGACCGATTTCGGAAGGAGAAGACTTTTTTCGGGACTGACTAATTGATTTGTTATCATGCTATATTTTGCGTTTCTTTTCCGTTAAGCAGTGTACCCTTGCTATATAGTATTTAATAAACTGCAATGTGTGTGCTGTCTGAAGTAGGCGACCTTCTTTGAGTTTGCTCTCTCGGCCCTGATTCAAATTAACTGTGATTTTCCTTTAAAAAATAAATAAAAAAATTAACTGTGATTTTACCATGATGCGCAAAAATTAAGAAAATAGCTAAATATGCATTATAAATTTATTTTCCTATCAGGTACCATTCTTTGAAAGAATAGCTAAAGAGTACAAACTTTTTAATATAAATAATTGAAAATGTTTGATATTATATTAAGAATATTATTGATGATTAATTGAAAAAATATATATATCGAAATTATATTCACATATTTATTCCGAACGGAATTTTTGGCACGCACCAAACACTGAACCTGTAATTGGGTACCGAATTTAGTTTTTTTATTTAAAAAATTCCGGTAATTCGGTTTTACCACAAATACCAATTTTTTATATTATATTTATTTATAAATTTATAATATTAATATTTATACTAAATTTTATTATTTTTATGCTAAGAATATGGTAATAAGAAATTACAATTTATAATTAATTTTTAAACATTTTTATAAAATATTGGTAATTCGGTTATTTATCGAACCGAACGGTTTGTTTTGGTTCGTAAACGTATGAAACTTCCGTATGGTTTTTACCGAGTGAATACCCTTAATGAGAAGAATCCAAGAACCCAAAGACATAACTGTTATAAAATATAGAGTAAATTACGGCCATCCCTTGATGTAATGTCAAATTACAAAAAGTCCCTATTGTTTGGATAATTATAATAATCCCCTTAACTATGAATTTTCTTACACGTCCAAGAGGAATCTTCAAAATTTATGTGGAATATTCATCACTTTGTACCTGTTTTACCCCATTTGAGTTCCATATTAAAAATAAGATGATCATAGAAATGTATGTCTTGGTTTATAAATATTATATTGTAGTGCATCAGAAACTGCACTTTTGCACAGAACAAGTACATAGTAGAGAACATTCATGAAATCTAGAAGATTATGTTGAATTTGACAGCATAATGATAAATGTGTAAAAAAAATTATAATTGATGGACGATTGTAATTATCCAAGCAAAATGGAGTTTTTCGTAATTTTAACCTTACCACCTAAGAGACGATGGTAATTTTACCCTAATATAAAATACAAAATATAGTACTCCCTCTGTTCCACAATAACTTTCTTTTTTTAAAATTATTTTTGTTCCATATTATCTGTCACTTTACATTTCCAATACTGCATTAATTGTATAATTATCAATTTTACCCTTATTAATTATCTACAACACTCTCTCACATTAATTATTGGCAAGGTCAATTTAATATAAGAACATATATTATTCTAAAATTAGAAAACATTTATTGAGATCTTTAATTCTTGTGCACAAGCTAAAAACAATAATTATAAAGGAACGGATGGAGTAATACATAAGAAGTGTTGTATTAAAATAGTAATACTAAATTGTAAATATGGAAACGTGCAGTATTATAGGTGTTGGAGTCCGACCGTGTCACAACAATTATTAGTCCAGCCCATTAAGTAGCGTATTAACCCGGGTTTCTTTTGGGATTCTATAAAACAAAGAAACTACTACTACTAGCACTTAGGTTTTTTATTACGATTTCTAGAGAGAGAGAGAGAGAGAGAGAGAGAGAGAGAGAGAGAGAGAGAGAGAGAGAGAGATGGCTTTGAGATTGACGGATAAATTAAACGATGACGAACCAGACTGCGACGATAATGATTTTTATGTGCGTTAGCGTTCCCCCAACCCTTCCCTTTTTTTTTTTTTTTTTTTTTTTTTTTTTGAATTTGATCTAATTGTTGTAATAATTGATTTGCCATATAATTAATTAATTGTTTAGTGTGGTCACAAGCTGATGTACGATCGAGATACTCCAGGCTATTTCCCCCCTAACCTTGAAGCTTGCATACCTTTGGTCGACCTGGCTATTGATTCCTATAACCAGCAACACGTAAGATTTTTTTTTTTTTTATTTTTTTTTGATTTTGTTTTTCACATCTTAATCGGAATTTAATTAGTGATTAATTTTAAATTATCCTCTGATGTTGTTGCAGTCCAAAGATTACCGTGTGGTGGAGATTGTGAGAATAATTGCAGCTGTTTGTTCCGGTATTGATCTCTATATGAAATTTACGGCCGCCGCATCCAAGGAGGATGGTGGCAGTGACGCCGCCGTAACTTTCGGAGCAGAGGTTCACAAAGGAATTACGGAAACAACCGTAGAATATGTTTACGTTGTTGCTGAAGGTGCAACTTTACCTGTTGATGTCTTACCTGCCTGCTATAATCCCTGTGGTTGAAGGTAATTAATTAATCAACAAGTTTGGTTGGATCTGTATTTATTTTTCTTAATAACAAATTAGTTTGTTAAAGACAATTATAGATATCATGTTATGGTCTCGTTTAATTTGCCGGTGAACATGTTGTCGGACTGCCTGACAATATGTAGATCGAAATTCTTTCATTTAGAAATACCTCACCATCACGAGAAAATTACTCTCTTAACCCTCATCCAGATCATCGGACCATGCTCCCTTAATGAACCCGCGCTCGTTTATCATCTGGCCGGTTAATATACTCCGTGTTTCCATGTGTAAACGGCCAGTTGGTTAGAGATTAAATAAACGAGATCTGGATTCAATTATGATCGAACATATTAGTGGGTTATTAAAATGGAATCAGACTAGTTCACTCAAAAAATTAAGTTAATTTCTTTTTAATTTAACATGCCAACACATACACACACACATATATATATATATATATATATATATATATATATATATATATATATATATATATATATATATATATATATATATATATATATATATATATATATATATATATGTGTATGTGTGTGTATATGTGTGTATGTGTGTGTAAGTGTGAGTGAGTGAGAGTGTGA